TATAGGGTCTGGCTGGCGACTGGAGATAAGACTTACATTATCTGGAGTTGCACTTAGGCATGGGGGAAGGGGTGGCAGGGCCAAGAATGGGAGGGGGGCAGCCTTGCCTCAATTTCCCCCCAGAAACTCCCACTCCTTTCCAACCCCCCTATAAGATTAATTCCCAAGATTCTTGGATGTCCCCTGGTCACCTTTGTTCTTTCCTCCTGATACCTGGCGTCCCAAGGAGCCTAGACCACCACGGGGTTCAGCTCCGAGCCGTAGTTTTCCAAGACAGAAATAGGCCCTCACACCACATTCAGATCCCTGGATGGGACTGAGAACCCCCAGCCTGGCCAGGTCTCTGGATCCCAGGGCTCGATGCAGACCTGATCCCCAAGCTCTGTGACTGCAGACCCAGGCCCCAGCCAGCCACCTAGACCCTGCCTGGCCTCACCTTGAGGAGGTCTTCCTGTGTGTCTGGAAAGGGGCCGAGGGCAGTCAGCGTACTGATGGAAGGCAAGGTGGTGTCAGCTGTGGCCATGGCTGGCTGGTGCCCACCCAAGGGCCTCAGGTCTCCTCTCCCTTGTGGCCTCGTGGGCTCTGAGGCTCTGATGGCCCCTTGGAAGGCTCCTCTCTGCTCTCAGCTGATTGGCTGCAACCCCTGATAAGGGTCAGGCAAGGCGGGGGGTGTCACCATTTCTGGGGAACAGAACTTGCCTTGGCCTGTTTGGCACAGCGCCTTAGAGACTGACCCTGCAGCCAAAGCTCAGTCAGATGTTCAGGGACTAGGGGTCCAGAGGTTTGGGGGTTCGAGTGTTACATAAAATGAAGTACTGGCTCCCCCAAAGAAGGAAAGACTTGGAGGCCTCTCATTTACCTACCTGGAGAGGGGGTGACAGGCGGAATGGGGGTTCTGGGAAGGGGCTTCCAGATCCCCCTCTCCCTCAACTGGGGCCCTGCACACCCCTCCCTCTCCCCCTCCCCCAAAACAGAAACAGCCGTGCTGATGGCGGGACTTGGCACAAGCTCCCTGCCAGGCCAAGCATTATCAGACACCCCAGACGGTGGAGGCTGCTATCAGGTGGGGGCCCAGCACAGCCAAAGCTCTGTCCCTGGTGAGTGGCAGGGCTAGACGCTGGGGCTTCACGTTAGCTTGCCTTGAAATTGCCTGGGTTATGAACTTTCAGGGTCTGAGCCCCACGGCAGGAGGGGCCCCTGCTCATCAGCCTCCACTGCCTACTGCGTGCTCCCAGGGAGCACTGCGGGGAGTGGCTGTGTGGAGGCTGAAGCTGGTGCCACTACAGCTGGGTCTGGGGAGAAGTCGGCCGCCTCACCTGGATGGGATGAAACCATTGGATTGGAACACAGGAAGCACCCGGCTTGCTGGAGACCCACTCCAACACTGGCCCTGGTCCTGCTACTGCCTGATTTCTGTCCCACAAGGGGCCAGGATCCAAGGTGCTGCACCAGGACCTCCACTGTGGTGCCCTGGGGTCCCGGGGTGGGCAACGTGAGCACACATCAGAGACATATAGTTCACACATACATTTACATATGTGACATATGTAACATGCAGTTACATAATGCCACAAATTCCTGGTCACCTCAGCCACACTGACCATGTAGACCCTGCCATATACTTGTCTGTGCATCCCATAAACCTTGTAGTCAGGAAGATACAACCATGTGCTGTTTAGTTACACAATGTTGTAGTCACATAATCCCTTAGACATAGAATTCATAAGCACACGGAATTACCCAATCACATACAATCAGACAATTATAGTGGCGTGGTTTAGCTACAACTAAACAGACACAAGGGCATTCTGGGATATGTGGTCACAAAACTATAGAAGATGCAGTCACACAATCCTGTCAAACATAGATGCAGCCTCAGACACAAAGGTATATAACCCAGTGGCTTACAGCCCTTTACAAACACACAATGATGTAGTTCTTCACACAGCTAACATTAGACACAGCCACAGCCACAGCCACACAAAGGACCATACAAAATCTACAACCTTTTGCAGTCACACCACCTATTACTGGTCACACAACTGTACAGATGCCAATGTCCGGCCATAGGGGCACACTCATTCAAATGCAGGCAACTGCACCAACATGGAATTAAACACCCTAATGGGAAAGACACAGGACCTTGCCCAGACACAGACACACAATCAGAGTTGGTGTGCCACAAATGCATCACACAAGAAGACAAAAAATTATGTGCTAATAAGTTTTTGGGGTGGGGGCAAAAAGTAATGTAAAAGCCAGTTCTTCAAACTAACTAGAATGACTACAAGAAGAAGAAAAAAGGAATATACCAATTGTTAGCAAAAGTGTGGAGAATTGGAACCCTAGTACACTGCTGGTTGGAATATATATTTTTTAAATTTTCTATTCAAATCCTCTGCCATTTTAAAAAAAATATATTTTTATTGATTTCAGAGAGGAAGGAAGAGGGAGAGAGAGATAGAAACACCCATGATGGGAATCATGGTGGATCAGCTGCCTCCTGCAAGTCCCCCACTGAGGATCGAGCCCATGACCCGGGCATGTGCCCTTGACCAGAATCGAACCTGGGACCTTTCAGTTCACAGGCCGACGCTCTATCCACTGAGCCAAACTAACTCGGGCTGCTGGTTGGAATATTAAATGGTGCAACTACTGTGGAAAACAGTTTGATGATTCTTCAAAAAGTTAAACTTAGTGTTACCATATGAACCAGCAATTTCCCTCCTAGGTATACATCCAAGAACTGAAAACAGGGACTCAAACACAGCAGCATTACTCACAATCGCCAAAAGGTGGAAACAACCCAAATGTCCATTGTCCGGCCATAGGGGCACACTCATTCAAATGCAGGCAACTACACCAACATGGAATTAAACACCTTAATGGAAAAGACACAGGACCTTGCCCAGACACAGACACACAATCAGAGTTGGTGTGCCACAAATGCATCACACAAGAAGACAAAAAATTATGTGCTAATAAGTTTTTTGGGTGGGGGCAAAAAGTAATGTAAAAGCCAGTTCTTCAAACTAACTAGAATGACTACAAGAAGAAGAAAAAAGGAATATACCAATTGTTAGCAAAAGTGTGGAGAATTGGAACCCTAGTACACTGCTGGTTGGAATATATATTTTTTAAATTTTCTATTCAAATCCTCTGCCATTTTAAAAAAAATATATTTTTATTGATTTCAGAGAGGAAGGAAGAGGGAGAGAGAGATAGAAACACCCATGATGGGAATCATGGTGGATCAGCTGCCTCCTGCAAGTCCCCCACTGAGGATCGAGCCCATGACCCGGGCATGTGCCCTTGACCAGAATCGAACCTGGGACCTTTCAGTTCACAGGCCGACGCTCTATCCACTGAGCCAAACTAACTCGGGCTGCTGGTTGGAATATTAAATGGTGCAACTACTGTGGAAAACAGTTTGATGATTCTTCAAAAAGTTAAACTTAGTGTTACCATATGAACCAGCAATTTCCCTCCTAGGTATACATCCAAGAACTGAAAACAGGGACTCAAACACAGCAGCATTACTCACAATCGCCAAAAGCCAAAAAGTGCAAACACCCCAAATGTCCATTATCAAATGAGTGAGTAAACAAAATGTGGCCCCTTCATACAATGGGATGTTATTCAGCCATAAAAGCGTTGAAATTATAATACATGTTACAATGTGGATGGACCTCTAAAACAAGTGAACACTAACTAGAATGACTACACGAAGAAGAAGAAAAAAAAGGAACATACCAATTGTTAGCAAAGGTGTGGAGAATTGGAACCCTAGTACACTGCTGGTTGGAATATATTTTTTTAAAATTTCCTATTCAAATCCTCTGCCCATTTTTAAAAAATATATTTTTATTGATTTCAGAGAGAAAGGAAGAGGGAGAGAGAGACAGAAACATCCATGATGAGAGAGAATCATGGTGCCTCCTGAAAGTCCCCCACTGAGGATCGAGCCCATGTCCCAGGCATGTGCCCTTGATTGGAATTGAACCTGAGACCTTTCAGTTCGCAGGCCGACGCTCTATCCACTGAGCCAAACTAGCTCGGGCTGCTGGTTGGAATACAGTGGGGCCTTGACTTACGAGTTTAATTCGTTCCGTGACGGAGCTCGTAACTCAAATTACTCGTATGTCAAATCATTAAAGTGAACGAGTGAGACACATGATGCTGGGCTGATGTGGCGTTCACTGTGATGTTCGCTGTGCCAACTAGCGGTGGGGTATCTGAAGCTGGCTCGTAACCCGAATTTTAGCTCGCAACTCAAAGCAAAAAATCGGCCGAGAGACGGCTCGTATCTCGAAAAACTCATTAGTCGGGACACTCGTAAGTCAAGGCCCCACTGTATTAAATGGTGCAACTACTGTAGAAAACAGTTTGATGATTCTTCAAAAGTTAAACTTAGTGTTACCATATGAACCAGCAATTTCCCTCCTAGGTATACACCCAAGAACTGAAAACAGGGACTCAAACACAGCAGCATTATTCACAATCGCCAAAAGGTGGAAACAACCCAAATGTCCACTATCAAATGAGTGAGTAAACAAAATGTGGCCCATTCATACAATGGGATATTATTCAGCCATAAAAGGGTTGAAATTATAATACATGTTACAATGTGGATGGACCTCTAAAACAAGTGAAAGAAGCCAGTCACAAAAAGCTACATATTGTTATATGAAATATCCAGAATAGGCAAACCTATAGAGAGAAAGATTAGTGGTTGCCAGGAGTTAGAGCAGTGGTTCTCAACCTTGGCTGCACATTAGAATCACCTGGGAATCTTTTTAAAATCCTGATTTCTGGGCCTCATCCTCCGGAAATTCTGTTTCTTTGTTA